TTCAGTCTTCACTCCCAGCCGGTATATGAAAATTAACCACCATCTTGGTTGGGTTAATTTGCATACAGTCGCTCTGATTGGCTGGTGGGCATAGCGAAGGTACGGTCAATTAGCATCTTTGTCTTTGATTAGTGTAGATACCAGTGGTTGGCAAATGGTGGCTCTCAAGCCACATGCGTCTCGTTGGCCCCTTGAGTGTGGCTCTTCCACAAAATACCATGTGCAGGCGCGCACGTACAGTGCGATTGAAACTTCGTGGCCTATGCGCAGAAGTCGGTTTTTGGAAAGGAGATAGACGAAACAAGTATACAAGACGAGTGTGGATGGGAGAGTTGGAAGGGGTCGACCTCAGCGAACGTACCTCAATCAGATTGAGGACGTTTTTAGCAAAGGCCAGCTTAGGAGTACCCTAATTAAGTTAATAACAATGCACCTACCGATATAGTTTAAGTTTAAAAAATTTGGCTCTCAAAAGAAATTTCAATCGTTGTACTGTTGATATTTGGCTCTGTTGACTAATGATTTGGCCGACCACTGATCTATACTAATAAAAGCCTAGGTGGTCCTCGCACCCTCGCACAATGCCCTCACGTCATCACAAGGTGGCTGCCACAAGATGGCCGGCAGGGGAGGGCAGTTGGGGATGATCGGGCTGGCAGGGGAGGGCAGTTGGGAGTGATCAGGCTGGCAGGGGAGCAGTTAGGTGTCAATCAGGCCATCAGGGGAGCGATTAGGAGGCGATCAGGCTGGCAGGCAGAAGCGGTTAGGAGCCAGCAGTTCCGGATTGTGAGAGGGATGTCTGACTGTCGGTTTATAATCGACAGTTATAAAACCAGCAGTCAGACATCCCCTGAGGGGTCCCAGATTGGAGAGGGTGCAGGCTGGGCTGAGGGAGACCCCCTCCCCGGTGCACGAATTTCATGCACCGGGCCTCTAGTATATCCTATCTAATAATAGACAAACATGGTAATTAACTGTAACTTTGCTACCCTTCCCATTGGCTAATCAGCGAGATATGGAAAGTAACTGCCAACCAAGATGGCGGCTGGCAGCCAGGCAGCTGAAGCGAACAGGAGGCTTGCTTGCTCCAGTGATGGAGGAAGCCAAGGTTCCCCACCTGCCGCTCCTGGCCTCTGAGCTGCAGTCTAAGAAACAATGTTGCAATTACAGAAGGTAAATAAACCCCAGAAATCTGCTTTCAGCTGTCAGAGCTGGAGCGAAAGGACTGCAACAGTGTTACAATTATAGAACCCAAACAAAGCCCAGATACCTGCTTTCAGCAGCCGAGGTCTCAGAGCTAGAGCCAAGCCTCAGAGCTAAAGCCAGCTCTAAGCTCCAGTGACAGCCATAGAAGGTAAATAAATCCCAGAATAAAAAAATAAAAAAAAAAAAAGGAGAGGTTGGGAGCTTCAGTCACCCGCCAGCCTGAAAACGGCCCTCAGCCCCTCACCCAGACTAGCCAGTGGGGACCCCCACCCTGAAGGGGGTGTGACCAGCTGCAAACAGCCATCATCCTCTCATCCAGGCTGGCCAGGCACCCAAGTGGGACCCCCACCCTGATCCGGGACACCCTTCAGGGCAAACCAGCTGGCCCCCAACTGTGCACCAGGCCTCTGTCCTATATAGTAAAAGGGTAATATGAAAACTGACCCTAACAGCAGAAAGACTGGGAATGACTGGTCACTATGACACACACTGACCACCAGGGGGCAGACACTCAATGCAGGAGCTGCCCTCTAGTGGTCAGGTCGCTCTCACATGGGAGGAGCTCTGCTCAGCCACAAGCCAGGCTGATGGCTGCCAGTACAGCGGTGGTGGTGGGAGCCTCTCCTGCCTCCTCAGCAGCGCTAAGGATGTCCGACTGCAGTTTAGTCCTGCTCCCCGCTGGCAAGTGGACATCCCCCGAGGCTGCTGGGCTGCCAGAGGGATGTCTGATTGCCATCTTAGGCCCAATCCCGGGGGAGCGGGCCTCAGCCAGCAGGTGGTCACCCCTGAGGGGTCCCAGACTGCGAGAGGGCACAGGCCGGGCTGAGGGACCCCCCCTCCCCCCCGAGTGCACAAATTTTTGTGCACCGGGCCTCTAGTAGGTTATAAAAGGCTAAGTTGACTCGCACATGTGTGATACATATAAAACTCTCACTGGTGCCAACCACATGCATGTGTTTCGATCTGTCATTGTCGATTGTGAATTTGCTTGACACTTCTATTATGAGAAAGAGTGAATAGCGATATTAAAATATTTCTTCTAATTAATTTCCTTTCAATGTGCATGAATCTGTCTACCGGGCCACTAGTTGGTTAATAAAATTATATAGATTATAGAAGCCTAAGCAACCATTTGACCGTTTGACCAGTAGCTGTGATGCGTACTGACCACCAGGGGGAAGATGCTCAATGTACAGGCATGGAAACATGGAACAGACTGATGAATCTCAGAGGGAAGTGGGTGGGGGGGAGGGCAGGAAGAGATTAACAAAAGATCTTATATGCATACTAGAGGCCCTGTGCACCGTTGGGGTCCCTCAGCCTGGCTTGTGGGGATCAGGCTGAACTGGCCCAGTGCATGGATTCGTACACCAGTGGGACCCCTTGGTCTGGCCTGCAGGGATCGGGCCGAAACCGGCAGTCTGACATCCCCCACGGGGTCCTGGATTGCGAGAGGGCTCAGGCCAGGCCGAGGGACCCGGCCTCTAGTTCTATAATAAATCATCTGTATAGGGTATTATGTGTTCACCACTCCAAGTCAAGTCTTCTTCCATCATCATTTATCCCCCCTTTACCCTTTTTCCATACTTTCTAAAATACATTTAGACATGAAAGCACATACTGGGTGTCTCCCCCCAAAATGTATATACTTTAACAGCTAATAGTTCAATTTTGAAAATGCAATGTATTTTAATAAACTCTGCCTGTATAATTATTTGAAATGTATGTATACATTTTTTGGGATAACCTATATATGTGTTTTAAAAAATGAAATTATGTTACATATTAATGTTTTATAACCTGTTTTCTTAATATATCATAGAAATTTTTCTATAAATGTTTCATAATTTATATAAACCTTTCCTCTTTGATAAACATTTAGTTTTTTTGTATTTTTTAGTGTTATAAATAATTTCATAATTTCAGATATTACTTTATCTATTGAGCATTTATTTGCTCTGTCCTGTTAAATTTAATCTTTTCTTCTTTTGGACTCACAGAGTACTTTGTTTTTTGTGTCTTATGACAAGTACCATACTTATTTAAAAAAATTTATTTTTTAATCCTCATCCAAGGACATGTTTTTTAAATTGATTTTTAGAGAGAGAGGAAGGAAGAGAGAGAAAGAGAGAGAGAGACATAGCAATGTGAAAGAAACATTGATCGGTTGCCTCCTGTACTACTCTGATGGGGATTGAACCTGCCACCTAGGTATGTGCCCTGACTGGGAATTGAACCTGTAATCTTTTTGGTGAACGGGATGATGCTCTAACCAATTGAGCCAGGGTTCCATGCTCATTCATATTCGTCCTTACCACAGATTTAAGCTTCTCAAGATCTAGGTACTGTTTCTTTTTCTTTAACACTTGTGTCTAATTGAATGCTTTTTTGTATATTGTAAATACTCAATATCTGAGTGCAGTATTTTAGAATACACTGTGGTCATTTACTGAAATTATAGTTTTATATAACCATTGGGTATAAGCTTTTCAAAAGTCTGTAATCACTTGCCATCAATTTTTCTATTTTGTTGTAGGTATATCATTAATACATACTAAACTATAATCATAGAACTTACTTTTGACTTATTAACTTTGCATTTTTTGTACCTTATCTTGTGGGTAAATATTTTCCACTATGTACAAAACATTGAGAAGTAATTTTGGTTCTCCATTGTTAAAAGTTAAATGAATTGGTATTTTATTAACTAAAATTGTTATGGTATAATATACTTTTTTTGTTAGTAAAAATTGATTATGTAATTATATATTTTAAAAAGATTTACCCATGAAATCATGTGAGTGCTAAAATATGTCTAAGCTATGTTTTCTGTGAATATTTACATAATATGTTCTTTGACCAGTTAAAGTCAATTCTCATGTGTAGTTTGCAGTTTTAAGTGAACACATTGATAGTGTAGTTCCTTTACTTGTAGCAAGTTATGGTCATAGACGGAGTTAGTCTGCCTACCTTTGTATGATAGAAACAGTTGCCCTAGGACTGCATTCGTTCGGCAGGTCTGGTGTTCCACACATGCTGCTGCTGGTCTGGAGAACCCACAGCGTGACTGGGAAACATGCAATAACCCCTTCAAGTTTAACCTTTTCCCACAACAGTTTGGGAAGAGTGCATGCTCTTCTATTTATTATAAGAATAGCTTTGTTTTCTATAACATAAACTCTGATTTTCTAACCTTTTATTTTATTAAACTGAAGTGTAACTAAAAGGTGAAAGCCTATCAGAATATTATGTGTACAGCGCTGTGTACTTAATGTAGCATGCTTTGATTATATTCAGCCATTTAAAAATATGGCCTGTACTAGTGTGCTGTGAAACTCTTTTAGACCTTTCTCGCTTCACAGATTTATAGTGATTTCTTTCCAGAGATGGTTACCTTGTTCCATAGTCAGTGCTGCCTGCGTAATGATTCTGAGTCTCCATTCCATTCACCTCTTAGATTGCTCTTGTTATGTTTTTGGATATTAGTGCTAAATAATGCTAATCCTTGACTTCACATCTAGGTAACAGTATTTGTTCGCAAGTACATGATTGACTCCAGTCTTAGTAGGCTCATATCTTCTGGTTACATGAAACTTACTCCCTTTTAAAATGTTCCCTAAAAGTAAAAGAAATAAAAAAAAAGTTCTCTAAATTAAAACATTTAACATTGAATTTACTGAAATACTTAACTTATTATAATATTTGTATGCCATCACTGAGATATTTATATACATGTATCTTTAATGTTAATTTTGTATATAAAGGTGTTTTTAAAATGTATTATTTTCTTTAAGTTGGCAGCTCGGACTGCTGAAAGAAACCTCAATGATTTAAAGAAAGAAAATTCTTACCTCAGACAAAAGTAAGTATCTCAGTGGGAACACTGAAAACTTTATTCTTAGTTGTTATTTTATTAGTTAGTTAATATTATAAAGGTAAACAAGAAAACTTATAGTGGATTCAGCATATCTAATAGTGAAATCTTATTTTTCTGAGTTACTAGATTTTTTTGTTTGAAAATTTGTCTTTTTTTTTAAATACATGTTTATTGATTTCAGAGAGAAAGGGGGGGAGAGAGAGAGAGAGAGAGAGAGAGAGAGAGAGAGAGAGAGAGAGAGAAACATCAATGTTGAGGGAGAATCATGGATCAGCTGCCTCCTGCATGCCCCACACTGGGGGTCAAGCCCGAAACCCAGGCATGTGCCCTGACCAGGAATCGAACCCTGACCTCCTGGTTTATAGGTCAGCGCTCAACCGCTGTGCCACGCCGGCCAGGCGAAACATTTGTCTTGAGAGGTCACTCTAACAGAGAAGGAAACTATTCATGGGTTCTTTTATAAAAGGTGTAACAAAACATAAAGAGCAACAGGCTAGGTATAGGATAGAAAGAGAAAGGATGGATCGATCTCTCTGAGATGGTAATTCTCAGAGTATCAGCATCTTTTAATGGATAAATGAATGGAATAAATGTTTATTATTTCTCTTATCCCCAAGTTTTAATGTAATGGGTAGTATTACTTTACAATAAGAAAATGAAAAGAAAAATAAAACGTACATTGTACAGTCAAAGAGAAGAATAAATGCTTTTCTCTGAGGATTGTAACTTCTTTCCAAAGTGTTATAATTTCTTGCCAGAGGTGCTATTAACATACTCATTTTATTCTTGTTGCTTGCCTTTTCTATTCAGAAATTACAACCAAATTAATAAGTGTTTTATTTCAGATCTAATGGTCAAGAAGTAGAAATAGTATTCTTTTTAAATGTCACATTTCTAAGATAAAAAATTTAGGAGTAAAATAGTAGGATGAGTTAATTGGATTCCAATTTTACGTTATAGTTGGAATCCTATGTGTAACATTATAGTGGAAAGCATACGTTAATCAAAGCCAGGAACCCTGTGTTTTAATCCTGGCACTTTTCATTTTGAATAAATCAAACTCCTAGCCTCAGTTTCTTTAGTTGAAAAACGATAGACTTGAATTGGTTGACCTTGAAGGGCCCTTTTATTTTTAAATTTGGGTTTGGTGATACTGCACCCCTTATTGTCTAATTTTTAAGAAAAACAAAACAAAACAATTTCAAACCTCAGCAAAACATCACTGCCACTTGGCAAAAAGAAACCTGTTACCCCAAAATAGTAGTAGTGAATATGGAAACGTGTTTTGGTCAGAATAATTTTAAAGGATCTGTTTCTTGTATGCATATATTGAGAAAATGAAGAGTAGCTTATAGTTGATAGTGGCAGTTTTCTAGAAATGTGGGTACTTTTCTTTGACGGGTAACTTAGAGATGTTTGTTCTTTATTTGCAGATTAACTGAAACAGAGATTAAATTTGAACTTTTAGAAAAAGATCCTTATGCAGTTGATGTTCCAAATACAGCATTTGGCAGAGGTAGCTTTTTTTTAACCCCTCATTTAAAAATACATATATATTTATTTATATATATATTTATAAGTTGTATGTATAATGTATATTAGTGTAAATTTAACACTATTACTTATAAATATTTTAGATTTCTGAGCTAGGGTTCTAATCTAAGTTCTCTCACAGTTTCCAAGTTTCTGAGTTTCTTTTCCCTAACAATAATATAAATATTTGGCACCTCTCTTTCTCAGTGGGATTTTACACAATGATGTATATTTAGTACCTTGAGCTCCTTGAAAAGCAAAGTGCTTGGTACATACTAAGGCACTCATTAATTATGTTTTGGAGAATGAATGGGTAAGGATTGCTTAAGTAAAATAGCACTGTGACTGTTTATGTATTAACTATTCTTGGTATTTGTGTGAATTATAAAAAGGAGAATTTAATGATCATCAAGGAAGCTGGTAGCAACAAAATGTATTTGTAGAGCAGAAACTTGATATAATTTAAACACAAATGTTAGATGTATTTTAGTTTCATAATTTACATATTATGTATTAGTAAAGTTGACTTGCAATGCAAAAGGGAATTTGTACTTGGAATATATTTTTACCAGTATAAAACTTGCCTTATGTTTTTATGATGCTTAATGACACACTATTCTTTTTCTTAAATAAAAAAGGATTCTTAACTATAAAAAAATAAAAATGAGAATTAAAACAGCCTTTAATTACTTAAAAATATTAATTAAAAGATGGGAAAACCTTAGTAATCTGAGTTTTGATTGCTTTAATATCTGTCCATTCATTAATGAGTTTGCATCTTTAATGATCTCATACTATTCCAAATAGCTTAAAATTTTCAAAATAATTTTGGTTGAATTAGAATTAAGCATGTGAGGCAATGAAAATAAACCTATCTTTATATAGACATCCTGTTATAACCTTTGAAAAGTTATAACCTTGTTATAACCCTGTTATAACCTTTGAAAAGTTATAAAATCATCTTGAGAGTCCAGTTTTATTAAAATGAAAGTCTATTTCTTCATTTTTGAAGATAGCAGATTATGAGTAATGAAGTTAGGAGTGGGAGGAATCATACAGAAAGATTTTTTATCTGGTTAATGCAAAAATCTCAGGGGTGTGTAACTAATGCTTTGATCTTTTGTTGTAACTACATGTGTATATTATGTGAACTACATAATAAAATTTAACGTATTTAAAAAGTGTTATTTTGATGATATTTTTCTTTGATTTTTGCTGTTAATTTTTTACCTTTTGAAGCATAACCATTATTTGGGAATGGTGAAGTTTGTAAAATGATAGGGCTCTTGGCTATATGGTTTATAGATAGAGTGACAATTTTTAAATGAATTAGTGTATGTAAATTGACTTTTCTTGGGCTGCCTCCAGCACACGCCCAAACTAGGGATCGAACCCACAGCCTGGGTATGTTCTCTGACTGGAAATTGAACCCACCACCTTTTGGTGCATGGTGGACGCTCCAAGGGACTGAGCCACGCGGCCATGACTGAAAATTTACTTTTCACTGGCAGTGAATCAAAAGTAATTTCTGATGCTAAAAAAATTAATTTTTTTCTATTTTTTAAAATTCCTATCTTTACTCAAATAAATCATGGCCCAACACAGGCTCTCTGGCCCTGATTTAAACTGAGCCTTCCATATTACAACCATCACCACCTGAAATATCTAGAAGCATACTGCCTGTAAAAACAAAACAAACTTCATGCCCACAAGTTTTCTTGTAATACCAAAATATCACCAGTATTCTTTGCTTAATATTGCATGGTTATTTTATTTATGTGTATTAATTATCAAGAGGATAATGTTTTGATTGACTAAAATGTACATGGTAAACAGACTTTATGGAATACAAAGTTCCATATTGAATTCTATTTCATGTTAGCAAAATCCAAGGCATAGTTAGTGTTCAGGACATGGATTAAACTTAAATTGGCAAGAGGATGACCTAATGGTAATTGTTGAAATGGGATTCTAATCTGAGTGTAGCTCATTGAAACTATGAATTTAAACATTCTGTTTTAATTATTCCAGAGCATTCCCCATATGGTCCCTCACCATTGGGTCGACCTTCATCTGAAACGAGAGCTTTTCTCTCCCCTCCACCTTTGTTGGAGGGTCCACTCAGACTCTCACCTTTGCTTCCAGGGGGAGGAGGAAGAGGTATATTGTTTAAACATGTTTATTACTCTAGATTCTTCCTTACTTTATATTTTCATCTCAACTTTTCTTTAAAAACAATCTTTAAAATAATCCTTTGGAAAATACAGGCATTCCTTGCACTTGTTAGGGGTTACTTTTGTTTGGAATAGACCAAAATTTGACACCTAATTTTAATGTGTTTTTCTCCTAGAAAAGTGTGTTATAATAGAATACTTTTGGTCAAGTACTTGATGCATATCTTTTTAAATCATATTTTTGACTTCTTTAGAACTCTGTTTTATACTACATAATATAAAACTTTATAAAGTATATAAAATAACAATATAACAGCATAAAGTTGTACTTTAATGGAATATTATTAGAATGTAGATTTTTTTACTTCATTATCATGACCTTTTTATTGTAGAAAATCAAAGTGAAAGAATCTTATTTTCAGTGTTGAGGAATTCAGAATTGCTCTTTTGTACACAGAATTTGATGGTAACCTTAAAGGAGACCTGAATCATTTGTCAGTACTTTGCAAAACCAACCTAAGATTGTCTGTTTTGATATCCCTTTGTGTGTTATTTTGTTTGTTTGTTTTTGTTAATCCTCACCCGAGGTTATTTTTTCCATTGATTTTTAGAGAGTGGAAAGGAGGGTTGGGGGGGCGGGAGGAGAGAGAGAGACATCGATGTGAGAGACATACGATGTGAGAAACACATTGATTGGTTGCTTCCTGCACCTGCCCCTGGGGCTGGGATTAAACCTGCAACCTAGGTATTGCCCTTGACTGAGAATCAAACCCGAGACCCTTTGAGCCACACCAGCCAGGGCTCCTTTATGTGTTTTACAATTTGAGTGTTTCAGAACTACTTCAAGTCCCTAAGTATTAGTTGCTGGTCTTTGTGCATTTACCTCATCAGCACTTACTCTGGTGTTACCTATGTACCTGGAGCACTCCTCCTTTTATTTTCTTTATTTTTATTGTCACTATTACAGATATCTCTATTTTTCCCCTGTTTTGCCCCCCTCCACCCAGCCCCTGCCCAGATGGAGTATTCCTCTTTTGATCTCTCACCATATTTTGTTCACTTTCAATTGCTTTAACGTTTTCCCTGAATTGTAGCAAATTTCAAAGATATAGAACCCTGTCTGTTCCAAAATCAAAAGTCAGGTTTTTAGCCCCAAGTCTGTGTTTTATTGGAACTGATAGCATTCTTCACCAGGGTCATGTCCCCACTCCCCCTTTTTGCCAGTGATTTTAACATATTTACTCTGAGGTAGGAACAGAAAATAATGAGACCGAATAAAAACAAACTAAACACAACATAGGAAGGCTCTAATATTCAAATGGATACAATTCATTAAAGTAGCCTCTCAGAGAGTCTGTGTATTTCCCTGTTGAAGCTTCATAATGAAATATTTTGGGAACACTTTCTTTGGAATTGCCTTCAAGAATATGAAAAAATCAGTTTCCTACTTTATGTTTATGAGACATTCTCTCTGCCCGTTTCTTATTTATATCCTGTCCCCATTACCAGTTTGCTACACATAGCACTGGTCCTTCCTGCTTCCTAGTCCCACAGCAGATGGACCCACAGCCTGGGGATACTTCAGAGAGAGTCTTCACTGATATTGGCTTTGAACTGAAAGTTCCTAGGGAAGGAGATTGAGTTGCAGGTTGACACTTGGAGCTCTAAGAAAGCTTTGCTTTAATTTCCCCCCAATTTTTTGCCTTGGTTTAGAGTAAGAAATATATTTTGTATCATGTCATATTACACACCAATATAAATGTAATTGAAATCAGTTACATGAAATAGTACTTATTAATATTTTCAGTGCTTTCTGAATTTTCTATTCAGTTCTATTCCATTTCATTAAAAAAAATAGTGATTAAGAATTAAGACTAAATTAATTTCATGCACCAAAATGGGTTGTAGGCAGCAATCTTAAAAAGAGTGCTCTAGAAATAAAGGTATAATTGGCTAGATACAAATGAGAAGCACTGGAAGTTGAATGATATAAGTCAAGGATTGCTTGTAGTCAATTTAATATTTGGAATAAGAGTAAAAATTACCTTTGATTTCTCCTCTCCTATTTCAATTACTTTTCTCTCCTTTTTAATTACTTTAAAGATATGATATGTTTACATGATTTGCAAGGGTGTTTTACTATTTATTAGAAATGCTACAGAGAAATTAAAAAAAGTGTAATGTTACAATGTATATCCTGGTTACCTGCATAAATTAACAACAGTGTATTTTAATAAGTAAATAAATAAAAAGAGACGCTACAGAGATTTTAGATAAGTAATCAATAGGCCCTAAGAGAGTTGCTTTGTACTGAAAGTTTCTATGACCCACCAAAGAAGGATGACCAACTCTCCTTCCTTTTTTCACCTTTTAAAATTTGAAAATTTGGGTGAGATATATGTTTGAATAAGACTGAGTATAAGGAAATAATATTTTTAGAATAAATTGTATAAAACATTGGGTCTGAATGAAAATTTTTAACCTTTGGCAACTTAAGTTTGTAATATTCACCTAGAAATAAATCAGTTGGCCTATACTTGGTCTTCTGGAAGTAAACAATCAGAAGGAAGCCTTTGAATGTCTCTTTTAAAGATTTATGCTTCACTGTAGAAGAATTTAGCCGAATTACTCTTGCACATTTCTACCAATTCAGTTTTCTGCTTTCCCAGCTTTTTTTTCTTTTTTTTTTTTTTAATGAACTGATTAGAAGGATGAACAAACTAGAAGGAAAGATTTGGGGAATTTGGTAGAATGTACAGCTATAAGGAAAAGAGATAGTTGACCCTCTAACATAAAAGTCACTTTTCCACTTGATTCTACAAAACAGTAGCTAAACATTTTTTTAAAAAGATTACTATATATTTTAAAGAAGAGAAAGCTTATGCTGATTTGCACAAATTATCAAAAAAAGTCAAAATAATTTTTGTTTCCTTTTATTAAAGGAGGTTTTGAAACGTGGGAGGTTTAAAAAATGTGTTTATTTTCTTGAAAAGCTTTCTTGAAAAGGAATAAACTTTTATTTTTTGGGCAATATAATTTTGACCTCATTTACCCCTCAATGATGGATAAATGAGGTGTTTAATATATTTTGTTATTTAGTATTTAAATATTTTTTATATTTGTCTTTTCTTTTCAATTTTTGTTTTGTTTTGTTTATTGTCCCCAGAGGATTTTTCTCCCTATTGATTTTGATTTTTTGGAGAGAGTGGAAGGGAGAGATGGAGGGAGACAGAGGGAAATATCAATGTGAGAGATATGACAATTGGTTGCCTCTCGCACTCGCCCCATCCAGGGCCAGGGATCAAACCTGCAACCCAGGTATCTGCTGTTGATTGGAAATTGAACTCAAGACCCTTCAGTTTGCCAGCTGATGCACTAACCACTTAGCAACACCAGCCAGAGGCTGTCTTTTCTTTTTTTAATTGCATATGGGTTATTAATTTAGGTACTATCCTTTCTATAGTCATAAGAAGGGAACTTTAAAGTCTTTTCCCTCCTTTATTAATTAATGTAGGCATGATAGATTTTCTCACCCAAATTAATATTATCTTGTTTGAAGTGTTTTGTTCCAACAGTGCTGTTGTTTCTGGAACTCTTGTTTTAGACTTGCCTTCAGAGCTGTGAGCTCTTTTTGAAGGTGAATTTGACATTTAGAAATAGTTATAAGCCATTTACAGACAAATTTACCTAGTGATACAAAGTTTGTAATCAGATTGGTTAAAATCATTTGGGGGAGAAGTAGAGTCATGTTATAACACTGAGATACAATTCCTTGAGTGGTTTTAAGGTTAACCTAAATATATTTCCAAAGAGTTTTTCTAAGAAATACTTCGAGTAGTTGCAGAATCATTGAAATATGTATATTGTCCCTAAGATGACTGTTTTAAATAAATCATGCTCTTTGACTTGGTAGATTAGTTTAAGCAACAAAAACTATTTTATAATTATGTTTTTGCATCTGATACAGAAATCTTTACTTTGCAACTTACTTTCTACTTTTATCTTTTAGACATTATTTGTAATATAAAATTTAACCTCTGACTTTATATGTAAAACTATTATAACATTTACAAACAAATTTTATAAGCAAGTGCTTGTTTATGCACATGGCAAAATTGTCCTAGAAATGGCTTTGGTAGGATAGTGTTTTAGTCTAATGTAGTTTAGGGAAACTTTGTTGGAATCTGATTGTTTTCACTTTTTAAAAACTGTCTGGATTTTATTTGATGATAGTTCTCATAATACCTTTTTAGATAAAACAGAATTGTATTTTTTTCTTTAATTAGGCTCAAGAGGCCCAGGGAATCCTCAGGACCATCTGATTACTAATGAAAGAGGAAAATCAAGCTACGATAAGTCAGCTGATCCTCACAGGGAACCTTCTGACACTGGGTCCCTTTCACCTCCATGGGAACATGATCGTAGGATGATGATTCCTTCATCCGGTATGGGAAGAGTATAGTTATATTTATATTTGAAAGTCAACCAGTATATGCAACATACAGGAATGGAAGAAAAGAGTACATGTGTGCCCTGTCTTAAGAAAAACTGTGATAGGTGTACCGGTTAATAATGGCGGATTTTGTAATCAAAGAAAACACGGTAATTTCAAGAGAAACATCAAAAGTGCTTTATTCAAAGTAATGTCCATCGCTAGCTACACATTTTCCCCATCTTTCAGGTAATTTGTGGATACCGTCCCAATAGAACTTTTATTTTTTGAGGCAAACCATTCAGGACCCAATTTTCCACTTCTTCGTATGTTTTGAAGTGCTGCTCCGATAGTGTGTGTGTGCCATTGATCGGAACAAATGGTAATCTGAAGGAGCAAGGTCTGGTGAATACAGCAGTGGGGGGAGGGGGGCGTTAATACTTCCCATACTTCCCAGGCAAGATCTTTTAACATGTCTTTAACTGGTTTTGAAGTGTGTGATGGAGCGTCATCATGAAGCAAAATTACTTTGCCATGTCTTCTGGCCCATTCTGGTCATTTCACGATCAAAGCGTGGTTCAAATTGATTATTTGTTGTTGGTAGTAATCAGTTTTAATGATTTCACCTGGTTTTAGAAGCTCATCATACACCACCTTCCTGATCCCACCAAATGCAGATCATTGTCTTCTTTCCGAAGCGATTTGGCCTTGCAGTTGATGTTGATGGTTGACCTGGATCAACCCATGATTTTGTGCGTTTGGAATTCTCAAAATAAATCCACATTTCATCGCCAGTCACAATTCGATGCAAAAAAGACTTTCTTTCGTGCCGTGGAAGCAACATTTTATTGATGACTTTTCGGTTTTCCATTTGTCTTTCATTCAGTTGATGTGGCACTCATTTTCCTTCCTTTAAAATCTTTCCCATTGCTTGTAAATGATCGGAAATTGTTTGCTGAGCAACATTTAATCTTTCTGCAAGTTGTTTTTGAGTTTGACATGCATCTTCATCCAATAATGCTTGTAATTGTTGGTCTTCAAGCTTTTTCAGTTGACCTGGACGTTCTTTGTCTTTCACATCGAAATAAGCACTTTTAAAGCATTTAAACCAGAATTCACAAGTATCTTGAGATGGAGCATGTTCACCATAAGCTTCCCGAAGTATACGATAACTTTTTCTTCAAAATAATGAATTAAAACTTCCCGCAAATGCTCTTTTTTTGGCACGAAATTCAACATTTTTAAGCGTAAAAATATCTATGATAACACCTTCAGCAAATTTGACATATGAAGTTTTGAAGCTTGCTGTCAATACAACAAAATAGCATACATATCAAATCACATATATATCAACATACGTGTAACTCCATCTGTTTAAAAAAAGCACATTATTAACTGGTACACCTACTACTTTCTTCTTTCTCTAGTTGTAGGACTTCCATTCAACCAGATTTCAGGCAGTTCTGAATGATGGTTGTTCTCTATTTTAGTTGTAATTTTGATGTGGTTGTGGGAGGCGGTGAGTACCAGTGTTTACCTACTATCTTGTTTTCTCTCTCTTTGTAGTTCTTTGATTATTAGTGAGCTTGAGTACCTTTTCATGTTTGTTAATCATTTGTGTTTCCTTCTTTAAATCGACTGATCCATTTTATCTCATCCTTAATAGGAATTTTTAGTATCTTTTGAATACGGCTCTTTTGTCTTTTGCAAATATTTTCTCAATTCATTATTAGTGGATGTTTCAAATTATTATAGATAAGCTAACCCTTATAAAAATAATCTTTATTTTTATAGAATATTGTCTTATTTAAGACCTATTCCTAGATCAAAAAGTTATTCCTTGTTTTTATCTAAAAATTTAAAATTTTGTTTTTTAAGCCTTTAATCAAGATTTTATTTTTGTTTTAGTGTTTAGTGTGAGGAGGTATTTTTCCCCATTAGATAGACATTATTTTATTTTATTATTTATTTATTTTTTTATAATAAATGGTCAGCTATTAGAGTTGCAAATCAATAATAAATATTGCATTATTTTTTCTAGAAAAATTTAAAGAATTTACATAGAAGTTTCTAAGTCTATCTGATTTCTTAATATAAAAATCAATTTCAGTGTTTTTCTTCTCTTTTTCTAAAAGCCCCATTGATCCAAATGCACAGAGAGGAAACACCATTATTAAATATATCCCCTGACATTACAAATTCAGACTTTACAATCACGGATCAGCTTGGAGGACCTGTTGGTTACAAAGGCAACGTGAGGTTGTCTGAGGGATCCCCAAAGCAGATTTCTTTGCAAACAGAGAGGCCTCTTCTCTGGGTGATACCACCCGTCCATCTTTTCTATAGATGTTCCTCTACTAAGCCATTATTTCTAATGACCTTGGCATACTCCTTGGCTGATGTGTAAGGGACTCTGGGTCTAGTCAGGTCTTCAAAATCAACGTGGAAGGAACCAAACCGCATGCTGTAACCCTGGTTCCACTCAAAGTTATCCAGAAGAGACCATGTGCAATACAATTGAAGGTTGACTTTATCAAGCTGGATAGCTTTGAACGGTTCCTGCAATGTCTGTCTGAAATACTCCCAGCGTTGAGTGTCATCAAGAGATGTGGGGTCACCTGGGGAAACCCATTCTCGGTGATGTAAATTACAGGGTTATTATACCTATCCTTAATATATTTCAGTAGTTTTCGTATTCTCCACGGCACCACATAGACCCAATCCACACTTATCGAAGCTGGGTCTGGAAAAATGTCCATCTCCACACCCTGGAGAACACCCAGTTCTCCTCTATTGTTCTCCCAGTTCTTGACGAGGCGACTTGAATAATATTACACAGCAAATAAATCAACTGTGCCTTTGATCATTCTCTTCTCTTCTGTAAATTCTGGAAGCCTTGATGATGGATAGCCTTGCTTTTTACTCATGGAGGCGATCTGGGACTTGACAACTTCTGGATAATCACCATCAATAAAAATGGGTTTAGCAAAGAAATGCAAGTGGAAAGCCAGGGCTCTTTTAGCAGCTTCCTGGTCAGACACTGAACTGGGATTTGCTGGTTCCACCCAGCCACAAAACAATGGTAGGGACATCATACCCTTCTGCTCTTTTTGGAATTAGGAAGCATAGCTGAGCCAGGCTCTGGGATGGGCCTTAATCAAATTATGAGCTGCCTGATAGCCTCCAGTTCCCAGGTGAGGTGTACCAGGAGGAAATGCACCCAAATCATATGCCAACAGGGCAAACAAATTAGGCTTATTTATGGTGATCAACTGCTTGACTTGATCCCCAAATGTCTTGAAGCAAAACCGGGCATATTCATCAAAGGATTCAATGAAAAAAAAAAAAAAAAAGGATTCAATGATTGTGTCTGACAACCAACCTCCTTGGTCTTCTAAGGTCTGAGGCAAATCAAAATGGTAGAGAGTCACTATGGGCGTAACCCGATTTGCTAACAAATCATCAATAATCTTGTTGTAATAGTGAATTCATAGGTAGGAAGTGACATAGCTGGCACTTAGCCCTGGTACATGGACTCCAGATGCCTTAGTGCTAACCTCTGTGCTAGTTCATTAGCTCCATGAATTCAGCTCCTTTCTGGTAATGAAACCTGTTGTCCCATCAGGTAGCAGATGTGACCAGGAAAGAGAGAAGCAGTAATGAGTCAATCCAAGCTGTTTGGTACATTTCAAATCCTCCTCCCACAGAGCGTGGCTGCCATGAGCTACATCGCCAATCTGGTTCTTGAAAACTCTCTCCTCCCTGATGGTTGAATGTGTCCCAGACACGTTCCATCTGCATCCCAGCCTCCTCATTAACTCAATGTACAGGATTTATAACTTTAACCCTTTGTATGCCATAAGGTCTATAGACGCTTTAAAAAATCATTTTTCGTGAGAATTTTCAACTGAAAATATTCAGTAACACCTGAATTGTGAGTAATATATTTGTTTTTATAATATTTATTGCAAGTTGATTTTTTAAATTAAATTCAAAATATCATGGCACATGGGGATGGTTTCCGTTTTGGATGCATGGCAGTTAACTTGTTAAAATATGCTTTTACAAAAACATGCACGAGCCAGTTATGTGTTCTGCTGTCCTTGATCCCTGAAGCTGACTGGTGGCAAAGGAAAAATTATTGCATAGTGCTGCCACATAGCAGGATTTCATGGTTCATTATCTGAAGATCTCCCGGTTGGTCAGATCAGGCAGGCGCTTGCTCAAAATGAGGATAGACATTATTTTAATACTATATATTAGATCATCAATTTAAAATATCACTTTTATCTTAAATCTCCATATTTGCATAGCTCTGTTTCTAAACATTCTTTCTATCCCATTGGTTTCTTTTTTTTTTTTTTTAAGATATTTTTATTGATGTCAGGAGGAAGGGAGAGAGAAACATTAATGATGAGAGAGAATCATTGATTGGCTGCCTCCTGCACATCCCCACTGGGGATCAAGCCCACAACCCGGGCATGTACTCTGACTGGGAATTGAACCATGACCTCCTGGTTCATTGGTTGACACTCAACCACTGATCCATGCTGGCAGGGCCCCATTGGTTTCTTTATTCCCAAGTCATCATATACTATTGGTCTCTTTATTCCTGAGTCATAACCTATTCATATAATTGCTTTTAGCAACTACTTTCAGGAAATGTTTCTTTTTATTCTATTTTAAATTTCTTAATTATTAGATTTTCTTCACATTCTGTTTTCTTTCTTAATATTTTATTTTTATTGTTGACAATATTACAGATGTCCCCCATTTACCCCCTATGCCCACCTCTACCCAATCGCACCCTCCCCTTCTTCTGACTCTCACCATACTGTTGTATGTGTCCAATGGCTATGCATGTATGTTCTTTGGCTAGTCTCTTCACCTTTTTTCATCCCATCTGCCCCACTTACCTCCACTCTGACATTTGTCAGTCTGTACCATATAGCCATATTTCTGGTTCTATTTTATTTGCCACTTTATTTTGTTCATTAGATTTCACATATAAGT